GAACTGCTCTTTGTTGCTTCTGTAAAGGTCTTGCTGATAAGGAGGTAATAGTGGCACTTTCCACAGGGTTTGTTTGTTCTCTGTGCCTCAGTCAGCTCCTTCCTAAAGAGGAATAAATGTTTACACAAATTAAATCCTAAACAATCATGTAAGTAAACCTTACAATGCATTGGTATAGAAGGGATATTCAAATTACTGCCTATTCTTTTATGAGTACCTCAGAAAACCCATTTTGCAGATGGATTCTTTGTACCTAAAGATACTATTTGTATTTTAAACTATAAAAATATGGATGTTTTTTCCACAGGTCACAGGATAACCCTTTTTTCCCAGAATCCTGTTCTTGGTAGAGTGTCTGTGCAATGATTCTAAGTGCAGCTCTCCTTAAAAATACATCACATTATCCCTTCCTTGAGGAATTGGAACTGAAGAGACAGAGAATACTCTTGCTCACCCTTGTGTTCAACATGTTTCCACTCCAAAACCTTTAAGACAAAGAGGCTGAGATCTGAATTTGAGCTGTACCTGTGGTGACCTCAATCTGACTTCTAGTCTCATCTGACATGAGAGGAAAGACAAAAATGAAAGAAGAAAAAAATATGATCTCCATTCTATTACTGACTCCTTATCCACCAGAATTTCCTTGTTTCCAGTTCTCAGCATGGCAATAAAACAGTGTAATGCTGTGTTTCAGTGGATTAATTTGTTTACATTCACAGCTTTTGATATAATCCATGAATTGGCAGAGATCAACCAGCACTTCTGCTTTTTCATTACTTGAAACTAATCAGAACACTGCATATTTACATGGGCCAACACTAATTCACCTTTTAATCCTTTCCCTCAGTCCAAATCTCCCATTCCAGTGCCAGACATTAACATAGAAACACCCAAGCTGCTCATTATCAGCATGCTAAAAAAGTTCTCATTTTTAATTTTTCCTAGATCAGTGTGAAAATAATCTGCAATACAATAAACTGCAACATACACACAGCTCTTTCTGTAAAACACCATGTACTCTCAAATTTTATCCTCTACAGAAGTTGAGGAAGTTTTGTACCTTTATAAAGATAGAAAAAATATTCTAAAGAGTAACTAAAGAGCTTATATAAGTATTTTTGCTCATGCTTCACCCATATCTATAGCATCAACTTTCTTAACACAGCTCTATATACTTAAGAGTTATGAAAAATATGAAGAAAAAAATACCATTCAACATCATGCAAGAAAAAAATACAAACAAACTTACTGGAGCTGCTGGTGCATGGGCAGAGCAATCTGTGGAGGGACATTGATGAACCTTTCACTCAGGATGAGCCCCACAGGCTTTTTGCTATCGTTCAGGAGTTTACTCAGCTGTTCCACCACACGCTGCTCACAGCTCTGCTCACAGTGACTCAGAAGCAGCTCTTTGATTTGCTCAGCACACTGGGTGCCCTGCAATCAAAAGGTGCATTTTCTTTACCTGATACAACAACTACTTACACAAGAAAATGTCAACCTTGAATGTCAACCTCAAGGGAACTTCCTACAGGCCTGGTGGCAATTTCCCTCAGCAGCCTCTAAAGCCCTGCACAACTGCTTTGAAATCAGTGTCCAGCCCTAAGGCTCAGGGCAAACAAAGGTTGTGAAGCGATGGTAACAAGGAACTGCAACACCACAGCAAAACTCCAAACTGCAGAAACTCAAAGGGAAGAAATACAAGAGACTCACAGCTCACTTACCCTTGAATTACTAGGCTCAGTTTTAACTCTATATTCCATTCTTTGCTTCATGTTTGACCCTCAGCAAGTTACTGCATTCAAAATAAGCTAAGCCACTTCAAGTCTGATAACCCCAGTCCTCCAAAGAGGAATTCCAAATCCTGGTCCAGCTGTCCAGGCTTGTTACATAAGATGCAATCTCATTTATTACTGATGTTAATATTTATAACCAGATGTTACTGAGGAATACCAACCTTTCTTTCTGTTAAGTTCAAGCAGCTTATAAAACCAAATACTTCATCATCATCTTCTTCATCATCACTACTGTCTTCCTGCACTTCTGCTTGCTGTTGAATGAAAGGAAAAGCAACAACTCATATTGACATTCTATTTCCACTCTGTAGCAAAAGTTATTTTTCTTTCTAGGTGGTAACAGCAGATGAAAACCATTGAGGAAATCTGTACAAACACACACTGCCAATTCTGCTGCATCACTGAACATCTCAGTGTGCCCAGAGTCAGCTTTAGAGAGGGCCAGGTCATGCATCTTCTACAACAGAGTCCTCTGAAAGGTTGATAGCTCACGTTTAATAAGCAGCATCTCGGCCCAAGGGATGGCAATACTCTAAACAAAACCAATTTCCTTAGTTTCTAATGTAGGGAAATAAACCTGGAATGTCTTGACAACCACAGAGCAATAAAACTTTGATAGGGAGGGGGACAAAGAGCTGTGTCTTTGTAGGAAAGTCACAAGCTCCTATTTCTTATGGAGATGGTAACAAACCTCTCCATTGCATTTTCAGCATTACTACACTGAAATTCAGGGAGTGAAAAGCCTTTCATATGTAAAAAGAAACCACCAATAACAATATATCAAATTTCTTCTTTGCTTGAAAGTAGGCATGGAAAACTTCAGTTCCCACAGAAAAACTACTCTTAAAGCAGAAAAAATAAGAAAGAACACAAATAATACAGACAGGATCCCTTTCTGGAATACAGAAATCATGTCATTTCAATAAAGAAAGTATGCACTTCAATTACAAATACAGTATCTGTCTTACCTTGATAATACTCCCAATATGGTTCTGTTGTATTAATAAATCAGTTAATTCAGCAGTGTTAACAGGAGCTTTTAGAAACAACTGGAAGACAGGAAACAAGTATTAAGTTTTAGGCACTGAGGGTATATCATGGACCACTTAGTAAAAAATAAAGTGAACTTTTTATTTATCTTCCTTCATTACAATTCTGCAAAAACCAACAATCAGCTGCTTCAGGTGGTTGCTTCTGCACCTTCCACATGCTGATATTTCCACACTGGTACCCTCTGGAGTTTGGTATGATCTGAAAGCTGTGGCTATTCCATCTCTGGAAGTGTCCAAGCCCAGGCTGGATGGAGCTTGGAGAAATCTGGGACAGTGGAAGGTATCCCTGCCCATGGCAGGGGGTAGCACTGGATGGGCTTTAAAGTCCCTTCCAATCCAAACTACTCTGGGATTATCTAATAAAAGGAAGCAAAGTAATATATAAAAGCTATAAATCAATACAGAGAATGTGAACTGATGTCTTTGCATAACTCCTTAGATATTATTTATCAATGGACATATCAACCAAGCTAACAAGTAGTCATAGTACCTGCTGTAGTAGCTTCTTTATTCCATTATAGTCATTGTCAGATATGGAATGTGCTTCAAATTCAACATTCACCTCCTGTAGAGTAAAACAGAGGATATCACACATGCCTGGCAAGAAGTTGTATCAGAACAAAGCTAACCTGTGGGGAACTTGAAGACAAGTAATGGCAAACAGCAGAAACAGAACTTATTTCCACCTCGCAGTAATCTCAGTGATTATTATCACTTCTGTGATCTTTAGAGAACTGTGAAAGAAACTTTTCAAAACTGACCCACCAACTGTGTCATGAACAAACCTTTAATGCTTTGCTCCTGCCATCTGGGCCACACAATTACACCTATTGTAGCCACAGACTCTTCATGTAGAGAGGTTTGATCCAGGCACTTCAGCCCTGGGAACTTCAGGAGCGGGGTGTAACGCCTTAGCTAAAGGTGAAGATTGCTGCAGACATTTAAATAATTACATCCAAACCCACACTTCTGCTATTTCCCCAAATCTTCCTGGCATCATTAATCCCACTGGGGACCTCTGCAAATGATGAGACCCAGGCACTGCAGCAGCCACAATGGGAACTGCTGAATCTCCTTCCACAACAAATGCTGGGATGCCTACCAACATTTTTATTGGTATTCAGTATGAAAAATCACACCTGTCAAGGTTACTCTGCCTACCTATTCCACTGTTCAAGATCATTCAAAGTTATTTTGCCTTTTAATTGCCAGTTTCAATTACACTTCCCGAGTAACCTCAACAACTCAGCCTTACTTTTGCCACTCTCCAAATCCCACATCGAGGTCATGGCCTTTGCTGACCAGTGGAAGAACAGTGTTAAAGACCTGTTTGTAATGTAGAAAACAGGCACACAGTCCCTCGGGAGGCAGTAAAATTCAGGAGGCACTGGCACAGGCTGGCCCTGGATTCCTGGGAACATCCAAGGCCAGGCTGGACACAGCTTGGAAAACCCTGGGAAAGTGATTCTGGGATTTTATAACAAAAGGAAGCAAACTAATACAATAATAAAACATAGCATAATATAATAGAAGAGCGAATCTGTGCTGAAAGCACCATTTCCAAGCAGCCGCCTCCAGCCCCTCACCCGAGCGGACACGCCAAGGGCCAGGCCTGTACAGCTGAGGCCTCGGGGAGCCCGAAACTTGAAAAACAGTTAAAAAATTCAAAACTTTCAGCAACAACAAGGCAGCGAACACAGTTTGTATCACCGCTCCCACAGGAGCCCGCAGGGGCACAAGCCCTTCCTTCCCGAGCCCCTTCCCAACATCCCCCTGACAATTCCCGGCCGCTCCCGTCCCCCGCAGCTCTGGGAGCCCGTCCCTCTCACCTCATCGATGGGCGACTCCGAGTCCGAGCCCCCCGAGCTCTCGGAGCCGCTGTCGGAGGCCTCGGAGCTGCCGGAGCCGCTGTGGGAGCCGTGTTCCCCGGCGGGGCCCCGCGCCCGGCGCTTGGCCGGCGTGGCCATGGCACGGCGAGTCGCGGGATGTCGCCGAATGTCGCGACAGAGAGCGGCAAACAGCGCCCGGCGAGCGCGGAGGGGCCCGGGCAGCCTGAAGGGGGAGGCGCGTCCCGGCCCGCCCCTGTCCCCGCAAAGCCGGATTTCCTCTCCGTGCTGTGGAGTCACTTCCTTGCCGAGGGAAGCCCGTGTGGGAAGCCCGTGTGGGAGCGGCTGTCCGGAGTTCAGTCCGGCTCCCAGCGGCGTTTGGAGTCCCCGGCCCGGAGCTCGCTGCTCTGGGCTGGGGACACGGTGGGGAGCGGGGCTCGGTGATCCTGGAGGGCTTTTCCACCCTCCCTGATCCCGGGATTCTGTGCTTTAAAAGGAACTGAGTGTCCTGAGCATCTCCGACATTAGCAAAAAAAAATACTGTAAGTAAAAACCAGCGTTAGTAAAAATCGCCAATTAAAACAGGATTCGGTTTGCTTGCTCTAAAAATTGTGTCCCGGCTTTCCCTGAAGCAAATTCCCTGGATAATTCCAGAAAAAGCAGCAGAAAAGGGTGGTAGGGAGAGCACAGTAAGCACAACGTGATTCTGGTCTTTATAAAAAAATGCCAGTCGGGAAACCGCGTTGAAATATCCTGAAGAAATGCTCATTAATGATCAAGCCTCAGTTATGTGGAACGTGTTCCACTGAACACTTTGTGTCTAATTAATGAAGAGAGGTGTGTGTTAATGAGGCCGTGGAAAGAAGAGAGCATTGGGCACACACTGTTGCCAGCCGGAAGAAATGCAAGGCACAAAGCCTTGGGATGTAATTCCAGCTTTATAAATACGCTTCAAGTAGGTTCAAATTTTCATGTTCCCTTTAAAGTGTCAAATACATCTGTGTTTTTTATTTTATTTTATTTTTATTTTTATTTTTTTTGAAAGCTGTGTTTGCTCTGGGAGCAATTAGGTCATTGCCAAAATACAAATACTGATATCCAGGGAAAGCATTTAGAGGAAGGTAAATTTTCCTATGTATGTGATGTATCAGGAAAATACCACACTGGTATTTGGGGTAAATGTGTACTAAGAGAGTGGATTTCTGATTGTATTATTCGTGTATTTGCTTACATTTTGTAACTTTGAATTTAGCAAAGCTTGTAAAGAACTGAGAAGTATCATCTTCCATTTTTATGGCAGAATAGATGTCTTCTGCCTTGTTTCCTAGAGTATCAGAGAAGGCATATGAATATTATCTATATTATTATAGATGTATAAACGTGTGCATAAAGACACATATTAAATCAGTATCTTTGCATACTCATTTTGATGAGCAGAGGGTGAAAACTAGCATGGAAATTAATAGAATAAATAACTTTTATAGCTAGACAATGATTCAATTGCAGAATGTGCTGGCATTGTAGGGCTTGTTACTGCTTTTACAAAAGGTTCTTTAAAATGTGTTCCCTTTGATGAGTTCCATTAGAGCCTCTTCTTGAGGCAGTGTTATCTAAAGGCAGCATATTATTTTCTGCCCTTATCAGGGTGGTTGTTCCTGCCTGCAGAATGCACAATAACTGCTTACTCATTGTGTAGGGAGCAGTACAACTGGTAGCAACCCAGTTCTTGGAGTTGTTAAGGTCACTGCTGGAGTAAAAAAGTCCTCTAGATCTAATTTAGATAAATTCCATTCTTGTATTTCAGGGTTCTGCTGTGCTTCCTTGGTGAACAATGAAGGTGCTGCTGCTGAAGGATCCCAAAGACAAAGATTCGGGACCAGATCCATATATTAAAGTGAGTAAACGTTGAGAAAATTAAAAAAAATATGTCACTTTTTTATTAAATATGAATGCAACTGTTTCAAAGTAGAAAAAGGGGCTTAATCAATATAAGGAGTTCTTGTATGAAATTATGTTAAGAGAAAAAGTATCTTAGAAAATATGCCCTTCCTGCAAAGAATGTTATAATTATGGGACATTTATACTGATTTCATTGTAAAGCTCTCAGCCAAGTACTGATATTAAACCAGCTTCTTTTGAAGTAGTTACTATTGATTATGTTCATATGGACAGAATAAAGATTACAGAAATTCTTTGTATTTCTACTGGGAATGTGATGTGAAACAGAGGTTACCTGTTGCTGGGGTTCCTTCTGCTGCTGCCCTTGAGTAAATCTCACTCATAACAGCAAGAATTCCTGATGCAGGAGGATTATTTCTTTAGGAGAGACCTATTGCCAGAATTACAGAGATGGGCAGGGACATTTGCAGGACTGGGTGGGCACCTGGGGACTTCAGAGTTACATGCTGGTGTCTCCTGTACCTCAGAAGGCCACAGTCCCACAGCTGTTTGTTTAATAAAATGTTACAATATAAAATAATTAACAAATACAAAGTAGATTTACCAGGGAAAGGAAATAAAATGCCTTTTTATTTTGCTTTAGCAAAGAGAAATGCTTGTTCTGGCTTAGCTCTTTGAAAAAGCAAACATGTTGTTTGGAATTTATTTCAAGAGCTGCAAACCTTTTCTTGATAGGAATTAGGATCATACAGCTTGGAAGCAACGTTGATCCCAGTTTTGTCATTTGAATTCACCTCTCTTGACAGCTTATTTGACAAGGTAAGTTTGAAATTCTTTCAGTTGTCTTATTTCCAACAGGATTTGGTTGCCAAGATCCCATTTCATCGTTCTCTGTGGATGCTACCTCTTTTAGTGTTGCCACAAGCCACCTTTGTACAGTAAAACTGCATGTACACCATCTAGGACCTTGTCCCTGCTTGTTAAAGAATTAAATTGGTCAGAGAGAATTCACATTTATATTGTGTGACCATAAATAGTCACAAGTATTGGGGCATTTCAGGCAATTATTGAAGCTGTTCTGTTTGTCATGAGGTTATAAATAATTGATCAACTGATTTTTTAAATTGATTTACTAATTAATTTATTTTTTTTTTACTTCTTAAATTCACTGTTTCTAAATAGCTTTCCCATCCAGAGTGCTATGGAGGCCTAGTTTTTACCAGCCCAAGAGCATTAGAAGCCATCAAGATTTGTTTAAAAGAGAAGAGTAAAAAAGAAGGTAAGTACATATTAATATTCCTTGGTCTTTTTCTTCCATCATCTTGTGAAGTTTGGATTTCATTGAATTTTATTTCACTCACCAGTAGATACTTGGAGCATGATTTTTTTAAAAAAATCTGAATTTCATAGTTCTTTTAGCATCATAAAGGGCTCATGCTACATTGAGCTTTTAAGGGTTGTATTTTCCTCACCTAAAAATGAAAGAAAGCAGCTTTTGGTGCAAATTAATAATTAGTGAGTGCTCTTCCAGCTCTGGTCGTCTCATGCAGAAGGAATATTTTGCTGCAGTGCCTGGTTTGCTTGCTGACTGCTTTCTTCCCTTAAAGAGAAGATCATCTCATAAAACCTGGCCATTACTTCTGTGCCTGTATAATGCATATTAAATGCTGCAGAAAAAGGGAGTTCTCTGGCTTGAATAAGAAATTTCTCAAGTGAATTAATTATTAGCTAAAAAATGGTGAAGAAGTGCTGATGTATAAAAGCCAACAGATCAGGGGTGAGGAAGAAAGAATCAGGATTCTAAATAGAAATATCCATCACAATGAAATGTCAAATCCTTGTAAACTCTTCCAAATTATTGTGTTGGGTGATTCTGGCATGGAGTTTCTACTTTACCTGCTCCATTTTTGGCCTGTGGACAAATCAATGTCCTGTGAGTAAGATTACACCCTGGAGTAAGCAGTAAATGCACTGAGACCCTCAGTTTATTGTAGCATTTGCAGCAGCAGAGGACAGTATATTAAGATTTTAGGTCAAAAGTAATCTCTTCTCTAAATTTCATCCCTAATCTTGATTAGGACTTTTGGAAAATACATATTTTCATAATAAAAATAGGTCTCTAATTTCTGTTTGGGTTCCTTTCAAAGGCATTAAATCCTTGGGTTTTTTTCCTTCTGGTTTTTATTTTTACTGTTGTGGTTTGTATTTCTTTTTTCACTCCCAGGAGTCCCAGGTAAAACTCAGTGTCCTGTGCTGCTTTGGTTAAAACAAGACAGTAAAAAACTTGGTGTATCTGTTTTTGATCCATTAGGATTTGTACATCCAGATTTGCTGAATGTGTAGCACAGTTTTAGTTATTATTATCATCATTTTGCTGTATTTGTGGATTAAACAGAAGTCCAAATAGTCATTTAGCATTCACATTCTGTTGCCATATGCTTAAATTTAATTTAATTTAGTATAATTTAATGTTTTTCAGCCTGGTCAAAATCTCTTAAACAAATGTGGAATATCAAACCAACATATGTGGTAGGAAAAGCTACAGCTTCTTTAGGTAAGCTGGGGTTTAAAAAAAGAAAAGTTGGCTAAATCTGGCTTGTAAGTACAATTTTTGGAGGAGGAGCTGCTGTTCAAGGGTGCTGAGAAAAAAAACCAAGTTTTAGAACTGGTTAATTTGGAAGAGAGGTAATTATATAAACATTAGAATTATCCATGCTCCAGGCAAGGATATCCATGGATATAATCCAGCCTCTGGATTTCTGCTCTTTGTGCTGTAATGTGATGGTCACTGCTTGAAAAATTGGGTCAAAATAGGAAAAAAACCCCATCTCTTTGTTCTTCATTTGAATGTGGTTTTGTCATTGCCTTTGGAAATGAAATTGGGTGAAATGGATTCTAACCTGGTTGAGATTGTGCTCAAATTATTTTGTGTGCTTGGACCAAGCTGTGCCTCCCTTTCCATCCCAGGCTTCTGTGACAGAAAATCTGAATTCTTCTCATTGTTTTCCATGTTTTTTTTCTTTGCTGCTTTTGGTTCTAGTGGAAGAAATTGGTCTTATTCCACAAGGAGAAAAGGCTGGAAATGCTGAGAAATTAGCTGAATATATTTGTTCAAGTAAGTGGCTAAAATGTTAAATTAAGGTAATGTCCCGTCCATCATTTCAGAATTTCCTTGATGTAAAAGCAAGTGCACAGTGAGGCAAAAATACCCCATATACAAGATAATTAATTTGCATGTAAGCTTAGATCCTCTAGGTAATTAATAAATACTATTTGAGCCAGCAGAAAAAAGTAAATTTTTACTGGAAGATCAGAGCTGTAATGACTGGAAATTACTGCTAAACCAGAAGATTTAAATAAATGTTGGTGACTTTCCCCAAAATTACCCTGTGGTTTCAGAGGGATCTGGTTTTCAGCACCAAAGCTGAGTGGTTTTGAAGAAATTAAAGTGATGCTTTAAGTTTTGTTTAACCATTTTGCAATGGTTAAATCTGTAATGCTTCTCAAACTATTATCAGATTATTGGGGGATGTTAAAAGTCTATTTGCTGTCTTCTTCTGTTTTTACTCTAATTTGTTAAAATTTCCCCTAGCAATAAGGAAGATATTTAGACTTAAGGGTTGTTTATTTTTTGAGGATAGCTCAGCAGAAGTTGTGAAAAAGAGTTTTTGTACAGGTGTGAGAGAGCTGCTGAGCAAAGTCTGCCCAGCAGCAGAGATTTATAGGGAAAAGAAAAACGGGAAAAAGCTGGGAAGGATTGTTTTTGCTGGGCACAGTGCTCTCCAATCCACTGGCAAATAAAATACTTCACCTCTAAGGAATATTTAATGATAAAAATGAGAGTTGCCAAAACAAGATGAAATAATAAATTCTGAAAATTAAAAGTACAACACAGATATGTCATAAGTGAAGAATAACCCATTTCTCCTGTTCAGCAGATGTATTAAACCTAATAAAGGTTTCAGCTGATTTTTTAGTGCTGGAAAATCTACTTCTGGCAATGAATTAATATTTGCTAGGGATTTTTTCGAGCAGAAAGACAAAAGAAATACCTGTTTATTGTGTTGTATGAAGGTGAAAAAAATTAACCAAGCAGTGATTTCAGTCAGTGGAGCCTGTTTGTTGTTGAGACATAGAAATATCCTCCAGGATTTATTGGGCTGTGCATATTTAAATGCTCTCAGCTGATCAAGTGCTTTATAACAACCTTGGATGTACAGATGATATTATCTCATGTTCCCTATTATGTATAAATTCAATTTTGTTTGTGCATAAATAAATAAATGAAAAGAATAGCTCTGAATTTCTTGTATCATGAGAGGCTATTGCCAGAATAAGAATAAAAACTGAAATAATTACATGTTTTTGTCATCACCTTTTGTGCTCTGGTGCCCAATTTAAGGGAATGGGAAATAAAGGAATTTACTCCAAGACTTGTCTGCCTTATTCTTCTCAAGGCAAATATTTGTCTACAGAAGCAGGAGATCCCAGTCCTTGTGTTGTTCAGGCCTACCAAGGAATTTTTCTGTGCCAAAAGAATTGGTGTTTGTTTACAGGTATCACAATTTCAAATAACTGCCATGACTCGCAGGAGAATTGGTGCTGGAATGTCCCAATCTTATTTAATTTTAAAATCTTTTTTACATTGTGAGATAAGTTCATTCTTCCTCTAATTCTTAATTTTAATTTAAGAATATGTGTGGTTTCTAATAAAAGCTCAGTGTGCAGTCAGGACACTCAAGGGTGTCTGGGTTGACTCCTACAAGGGTCTTTCCATTTGATTTTCACTCTGCTGCCCTTTTATCCAAGAATATCTGTATGCATAAACCAACAATCTCCTTCCAGCATTTAAAAGCATATTTTCTTTAGTAATTGTCTCTTAAAAATGTATTAACAAATCTGAATTAGTAACAGAATAATTTCATTTCTTTGGAAAGCTTGATGCAAAGCTGTATCAATCTGTGTAGAATTTCATCTTGAAATTTTCGCTGTGCTTCTTATTTATAGAAAAGGCAAAAACTGTGCAAAGCAAGTCTGTTGTTAAATTCCTAATTTGACAAAAGCATCTGAGGGTATCCACTCCCACCCCAGCAGTGCAATCAGAATCCTTTTTCCCATGGGAATTAAGAAAATGGAATTGCAGATAGACCAAAACTTTTCAGCACAGTAATGTCCTTTCCTTTGTCTGCCTGAATATTCTCTTTTAGAGAGCTCTGTCATTTATTGAGTGGGACAGATTTTAAATATCAAAGTGAGGCAGGTTGTGTTGAGGAGGAGATAAAGTGCATTTCTATTTCCCTTGCCCTTCTACAAAGGAAGTTATCTTTTTAGCCAATATTCATATTCTAGTTACAGGATATTTTTAATGTTCCTACTAAGTAGCCTCTGTCCTGTGAATTGAGGCTGCAGATGTTTTCTGTTATCTTAGAGCTGTGTCTGTGGTGAGGCATTTTATAAATCAGCACTTGATACCTTTAAAATGTATTAAATCACATTTACCCTTTATTAAAGGCCTGAGTTAATTAAAGTTCTTATTTGTGTGTTTACAGGAGAGAAACTCAATTCCTCAGCTCTCCTATTTCCTTGTGGAGCCCTGAAAAGAGAAGTACTTCCCACAGTGCTGAGAGAAAAAGGTTGAACTTCCCCTGGAGACCCATTTTAATTAGTCAGTGATGAGAAAAGTTGTATCTAAAGCTTGTGAACCAAATTGGAAGAAGTAAAAGTGGAACTTCTGAGGAGAGGATGGGAGTAAGCCCTGGGAGGTTGGATGGCTGCCCACAGCCCTGGGATGTGCAAATCCTTCACAGAACGTTTATGTGTCTTTTTAGCCTAAAATAGTTACACTTAAGTGCAGTTAGGATGTTGTGAGTGCTGAATTGAAATGATAGAAATGGATGAATAAATGAATGAATGATGACTGCATGTCCACATTACAGGCATACCCCTGGAAAGCCTCACTGTTTATCAAACAACCCAGCACCCTGATCTGCAGGAATCTTTGAGCAGTTACTTCTCCCAGCAGGTACTGGGCACTGATGTAGTTTGGGATTTTCTGAGGCAGGTGACAATACATTCTGGAATATTTCTTTCTTTAAAGTAGTGGAACTGAAATATCACTGGGTATCTTTGCTGTGTATCACAGATCAGAATCCAGGAGTAATCTGCCCTATGTCGTTTGTGTAAAAATAATCATTGCTTTTAATTTTCAAGATTGGCTTTCTGATTTTTCCATTTTAGGAGCCTCCATCATAGAATTACAGACTCATGGAATGGTTTGGGTGGGAAGTTAAAGCTCTTCCTGTCCTGCCCCTGCCATGGGTGGGGACACCTTCCCCTGTCCCAGCTGCTCCAGCCCCAGTGTCCAGCCTGGCCTTGGGCACTGCCAGGGAACAATTCCTGCCCAAGGTCCCATCCAGCCCTGCCCTCTGGCACTGGGAGCCATTCCCTGTGTCCTGGCACCATGTCCAAGGCACTGGCACACTGCTGGAGCAGGGAGTGAGCTGTGCCAACCTCTGTTTGCTTTCACCCAGGGGATCCCTGCGAGCGTCGTGTTCTTCAGCCCATCCGGTGTCAAATTCTGCCTCCAGCACATCCAAAAGCTTTCGGGGGATCTGATCAACCAAGTCAAGGTATCTTCTCTTAAAAATGGTGGAATACAAGAGGCAGTAAATTTGGGGTGGGCAAATGAGTTAGAAAGGCTGTCACAACCACTGCAAACCTTGATTTTATCTGTGGGGGTTTTTTTTCCTTAAAAAAAAAAAAAAAAATAGTTTATAGCAAATACAAATGTTATTATATAGAATTCTAGAATCTCAGAATGCTTTGGGTTGAAAGGGATCTTAAAACCCATCTTGTTCCACCCCCTTGCCATGGGCAAGGACACCTTTCTCTACACCAGGTCGCTCCATCCCCATCCATTCTGGCCTTGGTTGGATTTTAAAAAAGAAATTGTTTTCACCTGGCATGTTTTCCCCAACCAATCTCCCACACCTCCACTGGGACAGACTTCATTTTCTCTGAGTGATGGGATGGTGTGAGGAGCTGTTGCTTGCACCAAGCTGCAGCTGATTAAAATTCCTCTCCCTGTTCCATGGGACTCAGAGCTTTCAGTGTTTGTAATGCCGAGATAAACACTCATCTTCCCTGAGTCACTGCTAAGTAGCTCCAATGATGGGTGGATTTTAATGCTGCAAATCTTCAGCCTGAGCTGGTCAGTGCTGCTGGGGAGGCTGAGCTGGGTGATGGTGCTGTGCCTGAGCATTTACAGTGGAAATGTCCCTGCAGTTCGCTGCCATTGGCCCCACCACAGCAGAGGCCCTGCAAGGTGCCGGCATCGCCGTGAGCTGCACTGCGGGGAGCCCCACGCCCCAGGACCTGGCTGCTGCCATCCACAGAGCCCTGCACAACTGCTCTGTGCCCCAGTGAGAGCCCAGCATGGTCCATGTGGTGCTCCAAGAGGGCTTTTCCAATTTGCAGACCTACTGTCCTGCATAAAAGTGGCTTTTTGGGATTGTGAAGCACTGTCCTGGTCAGGGATGGGTGTGAGAAGGTTGCACCTAAATCTCTTAAGAAATCTGGAATCTGTCCAGCATCCCTGAAGCATCCAGCTATTCCCTTTCCTCCTGTGTGTACTGTGAGTATTTTATCCTTGAAAAGACGCTGTGAACACTGAGACACTGAAATCAGCCCCACACCTCACCTCAGGTATCTCCCAGCACAGCTCAGGTTGGATTTCTCTGTGTGATCAGTTTTACTTGCACATCTTCTTTTGTAGGAAAAACCCTCATATTCCAATGAAGTATTTTCTTTTGTAAACTTGTTGTTCCACTTTTCAAATATTTGTATAAGAGTGGTGATTGTAGATTCTTAGTGGAACAGGAGAATTCTTGCAGTGAAGTTTCTCTGTGTGGGGCTAATTCAGGGCAGCTGTTGGCCCTTGTTACCCTGACAGGGTCTTAAAAATGAGGTTTTGGTTTCTGTTCCTGTAAAGAAGGATTTATTAACATGGAAATAAACTGGCTTATCAAAATTAATAATGGTGTTAGAGTTGTCTGTTTTGGATGTGTTTTATGCTTTAATTGTTTATCTCTGAAAGGGGAAAAAATAATCCTGTTTAGCACTAGAGCTCCTCCAGCTAATGCTTCACAGGAGATTTGAATCGTAATACACTCATTTATAATCCTCCTGAAAGTCATTTGTGTTGCTAGCACAGTGCTGAGGTTCCTGGAATCAGAGAAACCCTCAGTTGCTGCACAGTTCAGGTGAAGTCTGAGGATGGGACCTGGATTTCCATCCATGTGAGAGGCTCCACACCTGAACGAGAGGGAACCTGGACCCAGTTCTGTTCCTATAACTTGAGTAATTACAGAGTGTGGGTTCATCAGTCACATTGGGCACAGGAGGACAAATGTTTGGCTTATGAAACACTTCTCAGGCTGAAATGGAGGAGGGTACAAACTGCTGGAAGATCACAGAATCCCAGGATGGTTTGGGTTGGAAGGGACCTTAAAAAGCTGATCTAGTTCCATATGACTGAACGTAAAACCCATTTCTACCTTTCCATAAAGTGGTTTATATTGTTTTTATGCAATAATGAACCACACTGATTTGTAGAAGAACATCAGGACATGAGATATTACAGTCTGGAAAATTTTATCTTTAAATAATACATTTAGCAAAAAAACCAGTGTCGTCACATGCTGAGGGTAAGACCCCACTCAGTGTTAGATTCGAGTTCACAGATACTTTTTCTGTCTTTCAAATAGTTTTAATTCTGTTGAGCAGTTTCCTGCTCTGAGGAGGGTCATAACCAAGAAAAATGAGGCAGACTGCTGTGTTTATATTTAATAAATAAATTTTTATTTAAAAATATCCTCTTGTTTATTCACAGTTTCAAGTTTGAAAAAGATAATACTATTCTTGATCGATTCCAACATGGCTGAAACCATTCACTTTTCAAAACAAAATCCCAGAGATGGCTGATAAACTGCAAGAGTCACATCAAAGCTAGAAAGGCACAGGTTTTTGTGCAGGATCCTCCCTGGGATTAAGAAGTGCATCCACATATTCCACAGAAATCTCCTGGTGTACCTTGGGCTGCCTTTAGGAGTGGAAGTGTTCCAGTGCAGCTCTGCTTACAAAACACATTTCATTAAATACCAAACCAGAGCAGCTGTGAGGTTACATCTTTATGCAAAACATGAACTTCACTGCAACAGAAAAATCAGGAATTTCTCCATGGTGCAAAAGTTTCATTTTTATCTCCAGAACTCCAAGCTGGCATTTCAAACAAAGAAACGCTGAGAGCTGAACAAGGAGAGCTTTGTGGGGATAAAAAGGAATCCCTGTGCTTTCCCAGGTTCCAATGGAACAACAGCGGTGAGAACTCACCCTCAATGAACACAAACATCCCATGGGAACACCCCCAGTGCTCCCAGCAAGGCACTGGTGCTGCAGCTCTGCAGTGCTGCCCTCACTGCATCCCAGGGCTGCCTTCGCTCCTCGGAGCCAGCTGCTCCAGCAAACTCAGCATCAGCTCCGTGCGCTCCAGCAGCGACATTCCCTTGTTGGCAGTGGCACGAAGCAGCAGGGAATAAACCTGCTTGTTTGTTTTCAGAGCTGCTTCTTCCTCGTTGCTGCCCCTACAAAGAGAGCAGAGAATCCCAACTCTTAACCTGACCAATTCTCGTTCTGCAAATTGTCAAGAGCGTTATTAAATAATGCTGATGAGTATCCCTGGGAATATGCTCAGCCCCCACCATGCCTTGCACTGCAGTCAGAGCATTCTGTTTATACTGCAGGCAGGAACATAAAATATAAACATAAAATGTACAAGCAGCAGTCAGGTTAATTGCAAGTGCTTCAGGAATGACTGAGAAATTCTGGAGCAAATTAAATTCATCATGCACTTGGCGGGAATCAGGTTCATTTATTAAACAGAACAGGTAGTCAATAAAAAGCCACTGAAATGCAAAGTATTTCTGGGATAAGTTACAACTATTCCCAGAACAAAGTATTACTTTCAATTGCTTTTCCCCTCTGATTTGCACAGCCAAGTTCTGTTCTGCTCATGATTCCACTTTGGGAAAGTAAAACTGATGTCATCCATTTTCACTGCCAGGATGCAAGTTTGGCAACACTAATTTTCCTACATGTTCTCCTGGTTTTTGCCAAAGTGCACCTGAGACCCTGAAGCAGCATTTGAGCTCCAATTTCCTCCCTTTTCACCCCATTACTAAAGCAGAATGCAGAACTTCTCCTCTACAGAGCAGAAGGGAGGAAATGCACACAGGATGTACAGAAGGCACAAGAAAGGTTAAATCAAAGGTAGTTTCAAGCTTGGCCTCAAAGTTTCAAGGAGTTGAACAGGTTTAAGAGTCCCATTTCACAGCACTCAAACTGTAACAGGTCCCCTGTGTGGAATCTTCAATGCAAAACCTCAAGATGATGTCAAGGTAAATGTGGGGGTAAAAACCCTCCAAAACAAAAAATGAGGAGCTGTTCATGTTATGAGACAACAGAACTAAACTCATTTACTCAGTTAGCTGTGATATCTGCTTGGTAACAAAGTTATTCTGCCTGTAAAAATCCTGTTTCACATATTCAGATTGCCACCTTGTGGAAGCTCTTTTTTAGGAGGTGAAAGCTCCTAAGACCGCCTGAAAAGCAGCTGAAAACACACCCAGGCTTGTGTTCTCACATTTTTTATTTACCAGTCCTACACTATCAGCAGACAACTTCCTGGGCACAATGAACTCATTTCACAGTTTACTTTTAGCAAAACAGCTCTCCCATCAAGCAAGTACTTCAATCCCCAAAATTATTAACCCAACTTCCAAGCCTTAAAGAATCCTCTAAAACTAATGCCACATTTTCAGAACTTCACTTTATGTAACATTAGGAACAGCTCCTGCAATCACACACTTGCTACTGAGGGAGGAAAAGGTATTTTCTGGGACCCAAAAGAAACACCACATATATTCAGATCAAAGCAACAGAAGGAGTGGGGGAAGGAATTTGCTGTCCCACCAAATCTCAACATCTCTTCAAAGCCAGCACAAAAAGAAGTCAGGTTTCTCCTGAATCCCAGCAGCAGGACAGAAGACTCCATTAGGAATTTGTAAATTCTCTGGGACCAATGCACATCTCCCCCATATCCATCCCTCTCTTTGCAGCATTACTGATATGCCTGAATTTCTTCTCAAGTGTTCTGCTTGCCAAACTCCACTGACATTTGATCAGCAAGATGCATCAAGAGATCAGCAGCATCCAGCAGCTTCTCCCCCAGGAACTCTGCTCTGTCACACACCAATCCCATGTCAGTCAGGATAAAGGACATCAAGCTTCAACTTACCCAACCTTTTTTTTGCTTGAAGTTAACAATTTAATGGATTGGAGGAGAAGGAAAGACATCCTGGACTCAAAAATCCCAAGCAGTTTCAAGACTTCCTCTTTGTTAAGGCCTGCAGAGGAATCGTTCACTGACACGCTCTCAGCAGGACTTTTATCCTCACTGATCTACAGGAGAGAAACAACCCAAACAATTTGACTGAATTCCACTTTGGAAATACAGGGAGTGATTTAAAACACCCTCTTGCAGGTGAGCTGACTTTTACATATGTTATCCAAACTGCCAGCAAGGGACACACACATCAGCACATCCTGCAAGTAATTCTTGATGACTGAGGCATCAGGAACATAATTCACACTGGCTACAGACAGCCCTGCATGTTTGAATGTTTAAATATTAAATCTACCAAAGAGAAAGAACTATAGACACAGATTCTGAAGTTCTTAGAGAAGACTTCTAAGGGACAGCAGAGTTGCATGAGAAGCAGCCCATTCACACACACAGGCAGTCCACATCTGTACAAAAATGTTTTAATCCATCTCTGGATTATGTTCTAGAGGAATTTTTCTTATCCACTTCCACCATAAGTGAGAACTACAATACATCTAACTCTGTCCACACTCTTTAAGCCACTGGCTCTATGGAAAATTAACCAAGGAATAATTTAACTACTAAATGACCATTCTTTTGTGAAGGCACAAGCCAGAAGGGAGCAGGTATCACACCACCTGAAGTTCCTTTACCTGTTCAGTTTCTGCCACAAGTTCCTTCCTGATGAGCTGAAATGCACCCTTGGTTTTAGTCATTATATCAAGGGCCCCAGACAGAGTCTTTAATTTCCCAGCACTGCTGTTCTGACCTAAAAAAAAAAAAACATAAAAATGAAGGACAAAATGCTTATGTTACAGACTATTTTTTTTCTTCCATCCAGACTTCAAGAATCAGGAAGAAAGCACATACTGCCCTACTAAGCTGAAAACCAGCAAGATAAAAGTGCCTCATCTCCTCTCTTGAGAAAAATTCTATTCTATTCTGAGCAGCAGATTGCTCCTGCTCTCATATAAATTTAGTTATCTAAAAATGAAACTAAGTAGGTAGTGGTGGCTTGGAAAGCTGTTTAAAGCCAGAGCTACACTTACTGGCCATTTGGAACTCTGCAAAGGCCACTCTCTCCAGCTGCACACGCAGGAACTCACAGGGTGCATCCTTCAGGAGCTGGAAGAGTCGCACTGCTTTGCTGTAGTGGAGATCAGCAAGGACACGGTGCTGCTTCCTCAGGTGTTCATCACCAACCTGCACTCACAGGAGGGCACACAGTAAATCCCCCCTCTCTGGATGCTCAGAGGAACCATTGGAAAGGTTTGCGTGGAGAGGGTTAGGAAACAGCACTCATTTATTTGGTTAAGTAATTGAAATAAATATCTCTCAGCTACAGGTAGAAGGATAAATAGCAGCTCCACACATACTGAACATGTTAAGGATGGAATTTCAAAAATCCAAGAGTCTGGAGCAATACCTGGTTCCTGAGGCAGCTGTGATACATGGAAGCCAGCCTGTGGTGGATGGTGGCAGCTCGGTACTGGCACAGGGGCTGTCGTTCAGACACTGTATCAACATCACAGTACTTCAAGGACTTCATCATGGCTTCGCTGACTTCTTTCTCTATCTGCAACATAAATAAGC